AGAATCTGGGTGAATGAATTCCTTTCATCACAGAGTTAAAACAATGTAGAGATGGTAAGCATAAAAATGACAACATTTAACAATTCACTCTAACAATTATACAACCAGAAAACAACATATACAGACTTTATACATTTTAATATTTATTGTGCAACTATTTGCCTTTTTTAGTGCTGCGATACACAATTTCCTAACAAAGAGTTAACACATTTTATATAATTTATACTGATTAAAAAAAACAATGTAATGAAATGTAATGTAAAGAAATGTTGATTGTTAATCAATTTTATTTTGAAAACTGAACAACAATAAAATGTGCTTACCTGAATGGGAGGGATCTCAGGTACGCAGGGCAGGTTCTCGGGATTGGTGACGGATGGGATGAGCTCAATAGGACCCATGGCAGGGTTTACAGGGCTACGGTGTGCGTGGGCGCCGGCCATACTAGCACTGGTGGGACTCGTGGGATTGGCATTATGCAGGGATGCAACCGGAAAAGGTCCTGCATGCCCTGGATTAGAATGCTACATGGAAAAAGAGAAGGGAAAGTACAGAGGAAAAGGAGGGAGGAGAGGAGGGAAGCAGGTCACTCACTGAGGTTTAAATAAGAAAAAAAGAAATCTTTGTTGTGCAAACAACATTCCTGCATCATCATGCATTTGAATGACCACACATGCTGCACAAGACAAATTAATGACAAAGTAAGAAAAAAGTGCCAAACCCCTGATTGTAGTAAGAAACGAAACCTTTGGTGGCTCATCTCAGATTCTATAGACATCTGGACACAAAGAAAAGGGGGCTGGATATAGTGGAGCTTCTCTTACCTAGTCGTGCATGCAGGCAGCAAATGTACATTTTTATATTGTACAGTAAATGGTATTCAAGCAAATTCATGTGTACAGATACACTGGCGAGGTAGTGTTAAGCAGAGCTGAAGAAGTCCTTTGCAGCCTTCTCTGGAACAACAGTTTCAGATTTCCTTTTCAAGGAATTATTAATAATGTGTTTGAATGTTATACTTTATCAAATTTAATTTTCATTTGTGTGTAGAAAATTGAATTTAAAAATTCATTTTTCCATAATAGCACAGCTAAATTTGAAATTAAAACCTGAATAACAAACAGTTTTAAATGGACTTTATATAATAACCCTGGCTTAATTATTCTAAAAAGTCAATTTACTGCATTCATTTCAGGACAAAAAAAAAAAAGTTTCGCTGCTTTTCTGAATGAATAAGATTGTTAAATTTACGAGAAAAGGTTTTACATGTGTATCTGTTAAAAATCTAATGTGTTCCTTTCCTTTAACAGTGGCTTTTCAACCTTCTCTAAAAACCCAGTTATACCCTGCAATGCGTGCATCATATAGATTTCAATTTACAGGCTTTTTTGAGTTTTATTATTTATAATTTTATATTCAATTTTATTTTCAGTTCAAGGAAATCTACTGTTAAAGAGCAGTTCATTGCTCATTGTTCATTGCAGGGAGGCTGCAGGTAGAGAGGCAGGGTACATGCTGGACAGGTCTGTGACAAGCTAATACAGAGGGACAGGTGATCTTTCACTCACATCACACCTACTGGCAGTTTAGAATCGCCAATTAACCTAATATGCATGTGGGAGGAAGCATGAGTGCGCAGAGGAAACCCAAATTGACACAAGGAGAACATGAAAACTCAAAGTGCTAACCATAATGCTACACTAGTAGCATCTCTTAAAGCCAAAGTCAAAGAAGTAATTCAATAATTTCCTTACTTATTCGTGGTCTTAACATCGACCACAATAACCACGATTTTGGTCACAATCCAGCAGCTCTACTCCCAACTAAATAAGTATTTATGTAGGGCTTTAAATCCAACATCATCCAACAGCAGATTTCTTATTTTTAGGAGACAATAATTTTTTGATTAACAAAAATTGACGAAAATAAATGTCAATTGTCTCCTGAAGGTGAATTCCTTGTGCTTCTATAAAATACGTTATGCATTTTAGCAAACAAGGAAAATAAATATTACATTTAATAGTGCACACATATATACACAACACTTGCTTTTGAATTTTGCTAAAACCTTAACACTTACAGAGTTTACATTTCTTAAATTAACGCCACTATTCACCCAGATAAGCTTTAGTTATTCTGTTAAAGTCATACATGAAAGCAGATGGCAGAAAATACACATCTAACAGCCCGTTTCCCTCACAAGAACCTTTGTTGAGACTTCAATCTTGTTTCCAGTGTTAACTGCAGAGACTGGCATCGTGACTAAAAGGTGTCATCACATCACAAATCGGCCAAGTACACAATATATCAAGTCTGGTGTCTGAAACCATTGAAGTAACAATGCAAGAACGGGATGAAGTGAATTTGGATTCAAAAAAAAGAAAAGGAAAAAGTTGTCCGCTCTCTTTGGGCTCATCTGGTTAAATGATGATTATACAAAAATAAATAAATAAAAAATCTGACATTCACAGATAGTATCCTTATCTTCTATATGGCTTGCTTATAATTTGATAGATTACAAAAACTTTAGTTTGCCCCACAATAAAAAAAAAAGAAGTAGCATCTGTGAAATTATGTCCATTTTTATATTAGTGGGTGACATAAAAATGAAGAGATTTCTATGTAATGTGATCAGTGGAGTTTGCAGTGTAATTAGATTATTAATATTTCATATTCTTACATGAAAATGGTAGTTACATTTTTCTAATTCAGTTTCTTCTTGCACATACTGCAAATTGAACTTCAGCTTTGATTAAATGATGTAATTTAACCATGCTACTATTAGAAGAGTGAAGATAGATGGCAGCACCATCGGCTGTTAATTTAAAATGAATATGCATCTATGAATCTATGACTTTTACGAAAATACTGGCGGTTGCCAGTGGTACCCCTCAGACTTCTATGAACTTCAAAATTTTACGTCAGCTTGTTCTAAAGTTATTGCATTCATGAGATTTGGTGACTTGCTGATCTAGAGGCCCAGGTCACTGATATTCAAACTAGTCAGAGATTTTTAGTAGACACACCTTTGGCATCAATTTCAAACTCATATGTCATTTCGTTCTGGAGTTATCACATTCACTAACTTGGGAGTTCATGAGGCAGACCCGCCAGGGTGACAATAATAACCCATTAGCTTAACGAATGAGAGGTACAAAGACACCCATCAAGATCAGTCTAAACTCAGACTGATAAAGGTGGGGCTGATGTTTTCTTCGGTAAAGGTTGAATCTGGACAAACACCCATAAATGTATTGTGCAGGAAGTCCTGATAGTGTCCTATAGAAAAAACGCTGAGGTTAATGAGGTTAATAATGTTTGAGAAAATTAAAAATTATTAACCTCAAAAATGCCTTTATTTCTTTAATACTAGACTTTCTTACTTACACTCCTACACTACATACACACACTCCAATTTATTAGGTGCTCAGGCAAGCAGACCTGACCACCTGGTAGATAGGTTGCAACAGCAGAGCACACTGGATGCCACTCCTGTCATGTCCTTGCAGGGCCCCCCCCCGAAATACTTTCTTAAGTCAGCTATCAGGCTGCTTAATATCAGCCTTGCTCTGTGTATCTATACACGAACAGTATTAAGAATGGCATTTTTGGTCAAACAGCTGCTTACCAGTCACATTTAACAAATTAATCTAAATGTGCCTTACATAATAAACACCTGTTCAGCTATTTCCATGTAGTGAAACTAGAGTGTTTTGTACTGACCTGTCTCTGTAGCTGCGGCTGCATCATCGTAGGATACTGCTGTCCATTATGTCTCGGCTGACTGGTGGGCATTCGACCCGGCGATGGGCCAGGTAGACGCATATGGTGTGAGGAAGGGTACAATGGGGGGCCCGGCCCCCCATTCATACCCCCAGGCCCTCTTGGTATCTGCTGCATACTGATGAGTCTTGGGGGCTGGTGGAAAACAAAAACAGAAACCTTACAGACATATTCGACTCCTGTTCTAGCAAACATGGTTGCCAGGGTCATGTCAATGATGATGATTAATGCTCATATGACAATCACTTCAATCATTTATTCTATGGAGACACTTCAACTACTACAGCTTCTCAAACTTCTAGAATTCTACTTGTTCCCAACAGGAAACATGTTTTTGAATTAAGTCTCACTGAACTTTTTCGTCTAAGTAAATGTTTTTTGCCAGATTTGAAGCCAATAAAAGTATTTAAGAGGTATTGCAGCATCCATCCACACTGCTGACTCACAGGTTTAGTAACAGATTATTTTTTGCTACACTAGATTTACAGTTTATTCCAAAATGGCACCTTAGCTGGGAATGATTTCATACCTGCTGCTGAACCATGGATGGGCCTGCCTGCCTGGATGCGATGCGCATCTGTTGCTGTATTTGCTGCTGGTGTTGCTGCTGTTGTTGGTGGTGCTGCTGCTTCTGGTGTGCATAAGCTGCCTGCTGCATGTGTTGCAGTCTGAGTTGTGCCAGGTTGATCTGTCCTGGGTGTTTGCTGGGGAGACCTTGGACTGGGGATATAGGTGGTCCGCCTACCATCACGGCGCCGGGCGGCTGTGCAGGTGGAGGTGGTTTCTCAATAACCAAATTACCTAAAACAAGAGGATGGAGGTCAGTGAGCTGAATTTAAAGAAGCACACAGAATAAACGATCCCTTTATTTACTTAGAGCAGTGTCTGTCACGTAAAAATAAACAGCTTCTAAGAACATTAGACGAAATATTCACTAGAACAAATCAATACTTAATGCATTGACATGGTAGCTGATGAGGTATAATTCGGGTATACATTTCACTCACCTAGATTAACCACATTTTTGGCCCAGAAGGTGGGGTCACAGAAGAAGCGCACAACTCCGTTGGCCTGGGGTGCTGGCTCCAGTCTAACTTTGAAGAGCTGGCGTAGCTGATACAGGATCTGCATGCATTCATGCACACACAGAGAATAATGTTCTTCAGTTACAGAGCGTAACTAAGCAAGCAACAAATATTATGTTTATCAGCAGGTCCTTGGGCAGCATTACTCAACAATCCCACAAATTTATCTCAATTATCACATTTGCTGGCTATCTTGTGGTAGGTGGTTAAATTCACATGGCAGAGCCATCCATCCACATACAAGGGGATTAATTTTGCAACTGTACCAATACAGCTTGGCCAGCAGGGTACAACAGGGACAAAATACTCTTATTAAATTGCTGCATTACATAGAACCACAGGCAATAAAAACACTAACATACAAGCTACCCTACCTACTTATGTTAATTGCAATTCACACGTGATCACGATCATTAGGTCATGTGACTAAAATATTCATTAAAAGAAGATCAAACACTTTATATAGTACGATTCTTTGGATGTATGGGGCTTTGGCATCCGCTTAAAGAGAAATCCAATGCTTTTTCAAGTCTGCTTTGCTCAGGCCATACAGTTAGCTCCACCATCTCCACTGCTGATCATCCGGAGCTCTTGAGAAACATACCAGCCTCTTGCTGTAGAGCAGTGCTGTGCTGCTGCCAGTAGTGATGGCCCAGTGGCAGAAGTTGAGCACATGATGAATCTGTTGTGCCAGTTGGGTAGTGTCTTTATGCTGAGCCACAAGCCTCATACTGCGTTCTTTGGTCACACTCTAAGACAAAAAGAGAGATTATATTGGTTAAGAAATTGCTACTCAAAGAGTCTAAACACTCCATCTGAATGAATAAGTCATGATCAAGCCAAATCTCCCTCTAGGCAAAAATAAAGCACATGCATGGAAAAGGATTAGATTCTTAGATTTGATTAGATTAAAATCTAACAATCCCTGCAGGGAGCCTGGGTTACTGCGGTGGAGTTTAACAGAAAATAGCAAAGAAAAAAATAAGAAAATAGGCACAATACATGAAGTGTAGAAACACAATGTGAAAGAGGTTCCGCTAACAAAATGCTTGCATCTATGAGCCGGGGTCCAGACATAAAAACTCTCGAAAAGCCTTTTGCCAACCACATGTCTTTAACTGTGCAATTTCAGTGAAATTACTATGTTTCGGCGCTGTTACAGTGAGTTGCCTGGCACAGCCTGAGCTCTCATAAATTTGTTCAAGTACTGCTGCTGTAATTTCAATCCATTCCACCAAACCAATTATGAATTTGCAGCACATTATTAAGTTCTGATCCAGACTGGCTTCCACTAATATTCTCTTACCTCCAACTGCTGCAGCAGAGACTTGCCCTTTTTGTTGATTTCATTTATAAGAGTAAAAACTGCAATTTTGATCTCATGCTCCACCTTCCTGTGTGTCTCATTAAGTTCTTTTAACCTGGGTTAAGGTAAGCAAAAAGAGGACACAAATGATTTACATAGAAATACCAGCCAGAAGTATATACATCCCCCAACTGTGTCAACAGGTAGCACTGGTTATGAAAAAGTCGCACCTGCTTTGCACCTGAGAGACAGAATAATGGACAAAGTTCTTTTTTTCCTGTAATTTGGCCATAGTGGTCTCAATGATGCTTTTATGGTTCTGGAAAGCCTCTTCCAGAAACTGGTACCTGGGAGTTGAAACATAACATCAGAAAAAAAAAATATAAGAACAAATGACACAGTACTCAAAGAACACCAAATCGTACACGCACAAAATAAGGGTTCATGGCAGGTTGAACCACCATGAACCATGTTTACTTGTCGTTCTTCTTGGCTTACTGCACCCTTAAAGTGAATTAGCAAGACATGTGCTCAGAGCTCATCAGAAGAAGCCAGAGACGCTGACTGTTAGGTTTATATTTTGGATTGTCATTTATGCTTAGAAATATATACTCATATATGCTTAGAGTTATATAATCAATTGCATATTGATAGGATGTCTGATCCTTAGTAGTCTGCAAAGACTCTGTGTGCCTTCCACAGGGTTCTGACATGCACACACATCCTAAGGTCATG